TGTTTGATATTTCTTGAATTTTTCACACCGATGCGTGACGAAAGAGATAATTTCAAAATTTCGAAAATTTGATTTTGCCCAAAACCTTAGTTATTTCTTTATTACAATAAGTGAGAAAAATGAAAAAGTTTTGAAAAATTAGAATTTTCCCAAAGACATAGGAATGTTACCAAACAATAAAGGAGTCGCCGCTACTGCAGGAAAAATCTTCGAAACTGTTTTTTTTTCGATTGATCCCTTCATCTTAGATTTGATAGGATAGAAGGGTTCAATAGTTTTAAAGAAAAAGTCTACAACTTTCTAAAAAACGACCTTAAGTTCGAAAACTTGACTTTCCGAAACTCAAATTTTTTCTGCAAAAGTATGTAATGGCCGCTTGAGTAGAAAAGATTGCCAAAAAGAGATTATAGATCTTCACTTAATTTGTTAATTCGATTGAACTAAAAACCAAGTTTCTGAGGGTAGTTTCTGAGAAAAGTCAATTAGTTTCAAAAACGTTAAAAAAAAGGACCTTTTTGAGTGCCAAAACTTTTTGAATTGATAGGATTTGGCATAGTCGATAAATCAGGTAAGCTTTCCACAACTGTTTGTGTTGATTGAATCCAAAATCTCAACTTTGGAAGGGCACTTCTCGAGAAAAAACAAAACGTTTCAAAAAACGGTGAAAAAATCAATCAATTTTCATATTTTCTGATGGCCATTTTTTTGTATAAAACTTTTGGCGTAACCGCTTATGCAGGGGAGCTTTTGAATGCTTTTTTTGGATTGAACCGAAAATTTAGGAATATGAAGGTCATTTTGGAGAAAAATCGATAAGATTTTTAAAAAAGTCAAAAAGTCAACTGTTTGACTATTCCGATAGCCATAATTTTTTTTTGTGAAAAAAATTCGGCATAGAAAGCTTTATCACCGAGGCTAAGTTGAGCTTCGCTCTAAATGCGATGCAACACAATTTTAGCATGGCAAACAATCAGACAAAAAAGGAAACGAAAACTGACAAAACTGACGGAAAAATATTTTTAAAAGTGAGAATTTTGTGATCCAATTTTTTCGACGTTTTTTCTTAATTTTTGTTGAAAAAGATCATAATAATAATAAAACAGCCAAAAAAATGAATATGAAGTTAGATGGCAAAAAATTTATCAGCGTAGCAAAACCGTCAATACTTGAGCAGACACCCATTGAGAACTAAAAAAAGGTTTTCCTTAAAATTCTTTTTCAAATTCCCCTTAAAATCTACATCCGCAAATTCAACACCTTTAACTCTTCATGCAATGTAATATGAGACGACTAAGCGATAAGTTGACACTTTTGAAACCTATTTAACAAAGAAAAAAATGAAATTATATCAAATCAGAGTTGCTAAATTTAGATCCAACATTGAAAACAAATTTCAACACAGAGATGAAGCTGAGCTTTGCTCCATTTTTGATACAAATGAAGAAAGCCGCTGAGTCGAAAAAAATTGAAAGAATTGTTAAAATTAGAGCGATCAAAATGAATAGAACTATATTCAAAAAATTGATTTTCTGAAGTCCGAAAAGTTTTTCTGCTAAAAGCAAGGCGTGGCTTGTAGGTAGAGAAGATTCCCAAAATTGGGTTTTTCCACTGAACAAAAAAAATAATAAACGCTAAAAATAAATGAGGTTTCCAGAGAAAATAGATTTGAGTGTGAAAAATTGTGAGTCGGCGCTAATGCAGGGAAGCGTTTTACTATCTGTTATCTCCATTGAAACCACAACTTGAGGCTTTGAGGTTAATTTTTGAGAAAAGTTGAAGAAGATCCAAAAAAATTCAAAAAACTCAAAAAATTGACAACTATAAGGGCCATAACTTTGTGTGTAAGAAAAGTTGGGCGTTATTATTTATGGGGGAGTCTTTCAAATCCTTTTCTTTTCCTTGAAATCAAATATTCAGATTTAGAAGGATAAATTTTGAAAAATCGAACAAATCGAAAATACTGTCGGCCAATTATTCCCCCCAAATTTTTCGAAGGCTGTAAACAAAAAAATAAAGCAAAAAAAGACCAGGCACCCAAAAATCTTGGCGGTCCTTGTATGGATACTCTTTTTTTGAAAATCAACTAATCGGTTTTAGAGAAAAAAAAAATTTTTTTTTTTGCAAAACTGGTCAAAGTTTCCAGACCGTCTCAAATAAAATGAAATAAAAAATTCCCAATCCAAAACACTTTGATAACACCTGTTTTTATCCAACAAAAAATCTGGGCAAATATGCCAAGCAAAACTTTTCAAAAAAAAGTTAATAACTGAACAAAACTTGCGAAGGGAAAACAAGGACGACAATCTTTCAGCAGGCCCCGTTCATTTCACTGAAACCAAAAACTCAAATTTGAGAGGGGTAGTTTTCGAGAAAATGTTCGAAAAAAAGAAGGGTCAAGTAAAAATAATCAAGAGGAATATACAGGCTTACCAGGGAGTAAGCGTTATAGCACTTTTTGAAATTCAGTAAAAGTTTCTGAGAAAAACTAAATGAAAAAAAATTTCCAAAAAGAAAAAAAAACACATCAATTGGTTAACATACAAATAAAAAGTGCGGAGAAGAAAGTAAAAATAGTGTTTGACTTGAAACAACCCAAAGTTAGGTCAAATTAGGTTAAAAAAGCCAACAAGTATACGCCAAAATAATTTGGGCCTAAGAAAATATTTAGCGAACCAAAAAAGAGAAGGAAATACGAAGTCAAAACAAGTAAAAATAAAAATTCAAATAAAACGCTAAGGAAAACATTGAAAAATTGCGCGCAGCAAAAAAAAACGATTCCCAAAAAATGTCACAACTAAGCCGACAACATATTAGTCATTAACTTTAGTTGAAACAGAATATTTTTAGTTTAAAAAATAGGTGATGATCAGAATCAATCCCAGAACCTTTGCCGTCCAAAGTTTATTTGTTAGCTCCATACCTCCTAAACTGGTCTAGAGGGCTACAAAGTTTGAATACATTGTGAAAACAGCCAATCGAAGATTGGAAAAGAGTAATGAACGCAGGTAAACAAAAAAAAACACTGACTTTGTTGAAAAAATCGAGTTTCAAAACTTTCGAGTTTCAAAAAAACAGATGACCTTTAAGCTCTTTCAATTTCTAGAAAAATTTTTGACTGTCAATTTTTTGATAACATGAACCAAACTTGAGAAAACTGGATCAATAGATAAAGTTTTTATTCCGCTGGGAAATCTTAAAATTAACTCTACTTTCGAAACTAGAAATAACTCACGTTTTAAACATCATATCCACGTTCGTATTTGAAGACTGCTGTTTACGTCACTTTCAGTAGATGATTTTCAATTGAACTCAACAAGTGCATTATACCTAAGTGCATCATTAATTTAAGACTTTTTCCAAACAAACAAACAAAAAACAATCAGAAAGACCTTTATAAGAGTCTTCACTAAGTTCATTACTCCTAATTGCTGATTTTTGAATTTTAAATATTTCATAAACGTTTTGAGTTTTCTTAAAAACTGCCCAACAAATTCTGAGAGGAAAATGTGTGAGGGTATTTTTTGCTAAGATTCATAATTTTTAGAAAAACAACGCTAAAAAATCGACTTTTCGGAGGACGATTACTTTTTGATAAAAAAGGTTGAGTAGCTGACCATACACTTTCTCTCCATTGAACCCACAGCCTTAGGTTTCGGGGTTAGTTTTTGAGAAAAAATGGAAAAGATTCAAAAAACGGTCAAAAAAAATCAAATTTATGACTATTCCGAGGGCCATAAATTTTGTGTAAAAAAATGTGGGTACAGCCACTTAATGAAGGTAATTCTCCAATTCTAATCTTTTAATTGAAACTAAAAATTCAGATTTAGTAGATTAGTGTTTGAGAAAACAAAAAAATAACGGTCAAGTATTCTCCCCATATACTTTTTCGAAGGCTGTTGACAAACGGGTAAAGCAAAAAAGACCAGTGGAGTACGCAGGCACACAAAACCGTACGGGATCGTTTAAAAAACAGGCATGCTCAAAAATGTCTCTTGTTTGACGCAAACATAGCTTGGGAGATGCCCACGGAAGCCATATAGGATTGAGAGGCTACCCACTGGCCAGTTTTGATCTTTGCATGTTTGGATTAAAATGGACAGAATGGAAGGTGTGAGTACAAAAATAAAATAAGAAAGTAAAATAAAATCATTTCCACGTTCGTATTCGAAAACTGCTGTTTACGTCGCTTTCAGTAGATGAGTTTCAATTGAAATCAAAAAGTGCATTATACCTTAGTGCTTCATTATTTTCAGACTTTTTCCTAAAAAAAACAAACAACCAAAGATAATCAGAAAGACCCATATAAGAGTCTTAACTACGTTCATTACTCCTAATTGCTGATTTTTGAATTTTTAATATTTTATTAACTTTTGCGTTTTCTTAAAAACTACCCAATAAACTCTGAGATGAAAATGTGTGAGGGTTTTTTTTGCTAACATTCATATTTAATAGAAAAACCACGCTAAAAAACTTTTCCGAGGACGATAACTTTTTGAGTAAAAAAAGGGTGAGTAGCTGACTATACACTTCCTCTCCGTTGAACCCACAACCTCAAGTTTGGGGGTTAGTTTTCGAGAAAAACGGAAAAAGGTTCAAAAAACAGTTAAAAAAATCAAAATTTTGACTATTCCGAGGGCCATAAATTTATGTTTTAAAAAATGTGGACATCGCCACTTGAGGAATGCAATTCTCCAATTCTGTTCCTTCAGATTTACTAGCTTAGTTTTTGAGAAAACAAAAAAAATAACGGCCAAATATTCTCCCCACATACTTTTTCGAAGGCTGTAGACAAAAGGGTGAAGCAAAAAAAGACCAGTGGAGTACGCAGGCACACAAAACCGTAGATGATCGTTTAAAAAGCAGGCATGCTCAAAAATGTCTTTTGTTTGACGCAAACATAGCTTGGGAGATGACCACGGAAGCCATATAAGATTGAGAGGCTACCCACTGGCCAGTGTTGATCTTTGCATGTTTGGATAAAAATGGACAGAACGAAAGAGGTGAGTACAAAAATAAATTAAGAAAGTAAAACAAAACCATGGATACGGATCAGAAACAACTTCACAAACAAAAATAATCAACTCTTCATCGCCACGACATTGCATGTTAATTCACTCATTCATTGAATCATTCATTCACAGCACACGCAGAGTCAGTCAAGTGGAGGAGCCTGCTGTTTCACTTAAACGCAATTGTTTTTCCTGAGTCGCATACAAGACAAGCTATGATGTAATAAAAGGGCCTTAGCCTGTTTAAAAAGATTGAAACGAAGCCGCCTTGAAGTTGGTATAGTTAAAATAGGTAAGAAGTCTATTGTAACAAAGATAAAGTCTCTAATTAAGGTCATCGACAATTCGTCAACGTGCAGCTGAGCTATTTTCTCTCTGGTGTCAAAAACACCTGGTTTTTATTTCAAATGTGGTTATCGGAACAATCGTGTGGAGAGAAGAGAGCTCAGACTGACAGAAATGTAGAGCAGAAACAGTATTGCACTGACAGAGTTGCAAAAGAGAGACAGGAGGAAATATTGATTGGTTGCAACCCTGCCGAGCGCCTGTAATTCAGAACAGAAACTGCATCCAGAAGAGAAGATTGTTCACGAGTACACTATTTTCACTGAGGGCTGTTTTGTTTAGCTTCTATCTTGTATTGAACTGACTGATATCATAATACACTCATTAGATGGTATTGAACTGACTGCGCATTGTATGTACTGTAAGTAATGTAGTAGTATGGCTGCATTAATTAGGTTCTGTCTTGGCATCCAAGTAAAACAAACTTTGTTAAGTCACTTCACTGCGACAACTGCTATTAAGAATAGTAACACAATAGATTGATAGGTAATAATGCAAACTAAACTGATCGAATTACGGCTGACTCACTGCCACGGGGCCAAAAGGAGAGAGAGAGAGAGAGAGAGAAAATGAGGGAGGGGGAAGGGGAGGGGCAAAAAAGGACCCCTGGCCAACCACACTAAACGTTAAGTATTGAGTTAACTCACAGCAAAATAACAATCAACAGCAAAAGATTATGAGATTGAGAATAAAGAAGAAAACTAGTTTAAATTGTAATAAATCAAAACAAATAATCAAGTTTCAGTTGTTGAGAATAGGAGGTGAGTTCCGCAATTGCAATCCATAAACATGGAACAAAATGAGTTTTGAAAAAGGAGCAGAGAAGAGGAAAGAACACTTCAGGTTCTTTCAGATGAGAAGAAGTGTGATTCGTCTTCTGAGGGGAAACAGGAGGGCTTTCAAGGATGAAGTTCAGAGTAGCTCTATAGTTGTTGCTCAATGTTGTATTAGTCAGACTAGCTAGCGTGAGGTGGCGGCACAGATGCAGATGTTAGGCTAGTTTCTGTGTCTGTCAAATGCAAGGATTGTGAGTAGCCTATACGAGTAGTGCCTTGACCATCTCCTTGATCTCCGCCTTCCTCTTCGACAGATTGACCTCGGGGTACTTGGCGTAGACTGTGGTCAACACTTGTTTCATCGTGATGCTCTCCAGGTCCGCTTTGCCTATGATCTCCTTCAACACCTTCTTCAGTTCCTTGTTACTCGGCTCCCCTCCCTCTTCCGCTAAAACGCACATCACATGTTCTTGTTTATAGCTATAGCCCCCAACACAATCCGTAGTCAGTTAAAGTGCCAACTATATACACAATGGGAGAAAATTTCAAAAATAAACTGATGAGAGATGCTTTTCACTAGAAACTTTGGTTTTGTCATCATGTAATAAAATTACGGTTAGTTTCTAAGAAAAGAATTCTGAACTTTTTCAACTTATTCTCTGAATTATACATTCATAGTTCATAGACAGATCATTAGAAAAGGTCGAAAAAACCTTCAGCTTCCGGAGGTCATGAACTGTTGATTAATTTGTTGAAATTCATAGTAACTCACATTTGTCTGCGGATTTGGACTTTGAACTGGAAGGACTCTTGGAATCAGACTTCTGAAACAGAACAGAACACATGTTCACAATAAGAGAACATACACCGAGATGCATGCTAGCCATAGAGCATGCAATAATTCCTCAGCAATCAGCCATGCGGCGGGGAGGATGTCGATTATGTTGCTCCTAATTGTCCCATTCAATGAGTGTAGTGCCAATGTACTAATCCCAATTATCCCCTATTAGTCATGGTCCTGCCATGATATACCTTATTATAAATTAAGGTCTTCTCTAATCATAGCTAGTCAGATGTCAAAAGTTTAAATAAGAAGACCTGTCTCTCGGTCATGCTTTAGTAACGGAAAATACAATCATATCTTATCAGCTGTTTAAAAACTAAAACAAGGATAGCCAGTTGCTGTGCAAGTAGCACAGAATGTTCCAAGCATATTCATAAAAATTACAATTTTTTTTTTCAAATAAGAGTTTTTTTTTGTGCCTGGTGTGATAAGATATCTATTCAAATGAGTAGAAAGCTAGTATATTAGGCATAATCTACAACAGTTCTCATCAAACAGTTAAATAACAAACAAATTCTGATATTTTTCAATTTTTTGCAAAGAATTTTTTAGTAAGCTTTTATTTCCAAGGAAGGGCTAAAAGAAGCTTCCGAACTAGTTTTTTCGTTCAGTACAATCAAGTTTTTTAAACCTAAATGACTTATTTTGATATAACAAACGTTACTCGACCGCTTTACTTGCTCAAAATCAGACCAACTCAAACCAGTTTGCCTCAATACGAAGTTCCCACCCATTTTTTATGGTCGGAATAAAAACATGAGATAAGAGAACAGATGAGCGAATCAACAGTACACAACTGATACATAAAAAGTGTTCTTCTCACTTTGGGCGATGCTTTGTCTTGTTTCGCTTTTTTGGCCTTGGGTGTGGTTGAGGTGTCTGCTTCCGCCTTTCGCTTCTTGCCGCTGGTGGATGGGGTGGCTGCTTTCTTCGAGGCCGGCGTCTTCTCTGCTGTCTTCTCGTCATCACTAGAGTCTGAAGATAGGTCCACATCTGACACCACATCCTGACCCTCTTTGGTCCCCTCCTTCTTCTCTTTCTTGCTCCTTTTCTTCGTCTTCTTCTCCCCCTCCCCTTCTGCTTCGCTCTTCTTCTTCGGGGTGACCTAACACAAAAAGAGGTTGACATGGTACTAGGAAAGATAGAAGCTGCCAATACATAACTCTATCCAGTCGCTGAGTCTGTAACACAACACTCTCTTGATGACACCTGTCACTGCAAAAAGATGAACATAATTTCATGCGAATGTCACTCAAAAGCGAATGTCACTCAGAAAAGAAACAACCCCAAAAAGCTATTACAACCCCCCGCCAAAACAACACAAGGTTTCAGAAAAAAAAACTCATTTTCATTGCCGCTGCATAATCGGATGCAAAAACAAATCTGAGATCTTCAGGGATTCTAAGATCTCAAGTCGAACTCAAGACAACAGCCTGCTTTAATGATTAGGACATGTCAAGCTTCAGTTGAAACAGAAAAAATGTACCTTTGGTTTGGGTTTGCCTGCCATGCCGTGGTCTTTAGGACTCCTCAAGAAGTCGAGTAGTTTCATCTTCAATTCTTCCACGGACTCTTCTGATTTCACGAAGGGAACTCCGAGCCACTTCAGCATGTCATGGACAACATGTTTGTAAAGTCTACACAAACAACACATCTTCCGAATATGTTGAACTGAACTTCAACCATCTCAGAAAAATTATCATCAACAATACAGCAAATGCAACACTTATTTCTTTCTGCATTCCAAAAGTGCCATAAGCAGGCTATCGCTAGTTAACCAAAATCTTTGGATATATCTTAATAAACTGAAGGCAGTTCAAATACAGGCTGTATTACAACAATGACACAGAGGCGAAGCGGAGCTTTGCATCATTTGCGATACCACAAAAATAGCATTGCAAGCTAGCAGACAGGAAAGGAAGGAGGCAACTATATCCGAAGAAAACGGAAAAATGTTCGAAGAAACCAACATTACAAAAACTTCAAAATGTTGTCTGGAATGAAGCTCAATTTGCGGAAAACACGTCCAGAAACACACTCGACGGCGTTTAATGAAAATTCAAAAACAATTTTCGAGCGAAAAAAAATTGTTGTCAAGAAAAAGTTGAACTACAAATTCTGTTCAGAGATTTTTTACGTTTTATGAAATCCAGAGGAAAACATACAAATTATTGTTGCCTCAAATGACCCAAAATTAGGTTTAAAAGCCGATAAAAAGTGAGCCAAAATCAATTAGCCCAAAAAAATTTTCAAGCAAAAAAATCAAAAAGCAAAAAATACGTAGTCAACATAAGTAGAATTACAACTTGCAGAAGTAAACGATAACATAAAGAGCAACTACAATGAAAACTGCATGCAAAAAAATTCAACTAATGTTTCAAGACAAAACTTACGCAGAAAAATAATAAGCCGACAATTTAGAACTTTTGCCGTCCCGGGCATTTTCGTTACCTCCAGACAAGTGTGCCGTAGACACTTGGAAATTCAAATTCATTATGAACCAAGATACCAAGTTGTTAACCCGAAAAAAAAACTATATTCGGATTCGATAACGCTTGTTTATCGCAAGCGTGATAACGTATGTGATCTGAGCTCACCTCTCGATGATGTTGACTCTGGACTGGTAGTCTTTGGAATCTTCCGGGTAGTTGAATCCATTGAACTTCCTCAGTTGCTGCTTCACTTCGCTGTTCTTCCCTATTCTGTTGAAACACACTTTGAATAGAGTCTTCAGGTCTTCCGAGTCGCACTTCCCAATCCAGTACTGTGCACATGGGATCGAACCCAGATTGACTCCTGGTCCGTCGAACTTGTACTCTGCCTTCTCGACCACTTTCTTCTCCGCCGGAGTCACAGGTATCTCGAAGTTACTCACTCTCTTCGACACTCTTCCTGATCTGGTCACTGCCGGTGGCTTCTCTTTGTCCTCTTTCGGCTCTGCCGGTGCTAGAAGGACAGTAAAGTCAAGGCGCCGTTGAATGGATCTACGTGTACTTTTTGGCGGATCCATTGGCCAGCCTAAATACTCTCTTACCATGAGACAGGTTGCAATGTGCCAAAATTATAGGCCAAAGCCATCAGTTTGCTTGCAATTGCGTTCATTATTACCATTTATAGCGTACGAGCGGACTCGATGCTTCAATAACAAATACGCCAACTTTTTTATGAACAAAATTATCACAATTCAGTATAACTGTATTATAATTCAAAACAAAACAAACACCCCAAAAAACAAGACAAACGAGCAACTTTGCGGAGCAATGTTATCGATTATACTTACTCTTAGAAGAACGCGGCTTTTTCTTTGGGGCCCTGTCTACATTTTGGTCCTCGCTCTTTTCTTCGTCTTTCTTTGCTTCCTTGTCATCCTCAGACTCTGTATTCATTTCCTCAAGCGGTTGTTCTTCTGACGGCTTGCCTTCAGCTTCTTCTGCGTCATCATGCTCACCAGCTTGATCTTCGTCTCCCTCCATTTTATCATCGCTGTTTTGGACTTTTTTTGAGGTTGATGTTTCATCTTCTTTTTGCTCGCTATCTTCTACTGCTTTTGATTCGGTTTCAGTCTCTGTTTTTTCATCTTGTGTCTTTTCCTCGCAATCTGCCTCATCTTTTTTCCTGTCAATATTTTTACTCTTTTCCTGGTTTTCAAAAATTGAATCATCTGTTTTAAGTGAGCTTGTCTGATCTGTGGTATTTTCGCTGCTCTGATTCGCAACATTTTCCGTTGTGTTTTCAGTTGGTTCTTCGGTCGTTCCATTTTCATCGCTTTTTGTTACATCCTCGGCTGCAGTATCATTGCCAGGCAAATCTGATTGCACTTTACTTTTTTCGACTTCGGTATGGCCATTCAGTTCGGCTGTGACTTCATTTTTATTCTCGTCTGCAACACTGCCGTTAACAGCGACTAAACGAAGACAATTTTTATATGAAAAATCAATTTTTATTCCATATACAAAAATGCTACCACATTTCCTCCCATGCTTCAGCAGAATTACTTGAAACTTAATCCACTAGGACAATATCAAAAACCCTAGTATCAAACGGGCGGCCTAAGTGAAGGCTAGCAGAATTAAGCAATTCGATCTCGATCGATTTGATTTTCTATTAAGAACAAATCATATTTTCAATGAAACTTACCTTTACTAGGAGAATCAGCTTTTCCGATTGCCACGTCTTCGCTCAAAATTGAAGCATTATCAGTGTTGTTTGAAGTTTCGGTCATTTTAACAGCAAATTGAAATCTGAAAACAGCCAACAGACAATTGGAAAACTGTTGATTAGCTCGCGAAAATTGATAATAAAGATTTTCCAGAAATCTCTTAAATTATGAGATATAAAAACACAAAATTGTCAGACAAAAATAGCGTCAACCCATAATGCTAACAGCTAGATAAATAATTCTTTGCACAGGCCAAACTGTCATTTCAAACGTTTTCGCTTCTTTTGCACATCGTCAGGATTCAAACAAAAAAACTAGAGAAAATGATCAACCATCAGGAAAAATAACAAACAAATAAAATGGGGTGATAGCCCCTTGTGCTGACCAGCACAGAAACGCTACTACTGCTACTACTGGTAAATATCACATATGCAAAATTCAACAATCAAAATTGAACAACTGTTATTACTGTAACATTCGCCCGGAAGATACATATCGACGGAAGACAAAACTAAGTCTTAAGACGACTGGCTAACGTCTAAACAGAGCTTTGCATGCTTTTCACCGTCTCTACCAAGCCAGTACTTTTCGGTGGTCTTTTCTAACATCGGGTCGACAAAAACGTTACTGCTTTCGGCTTCGGTCAAAACACTCAAATTAACTAAATTACATGCAGAAATAGTGAGCTCATGGCTGGGTCTCAGTATCCCCAGACCACGAGGTCACTCCTAAAAACAGGGCTACTACTATTTATTATATTACTATTGTTTTTGTTAAGTAGATAAAAATCATCAATGTAACATTCGCCCGGAAGATACATATCGACGGAAAACAAAACTAAGTCTTAAGACGACTGGCTAACGTCTAAACAGAGCTTTGCATGCTTTTCACCGTCTCTACCAAGCCAGTACTTTTCGGTGGTCTTTTCTAACATCGGGTCGACAAAAACGTTACTGCTTTCGGCTTCGGTCAAAACACTCAAATTAAATAGATTACATGCAGAAATAGTGAGCTCATGGCTGGGTCTCAGTATCCCCAGACCACGAGGTCACTCCTAAAAACAGGGCTACTACTATTTATTATATTACTATTGTTTTTGTTCAGTAGATAAAAATCATCACTCCATCGAAGATGGATCAAACCTTTCCCCCAACTCGTAGCTTCTCATCCTTATCAAACTGAATCCAGATATTAATTAAATTCAAGTCAGGACATGACAGGAAGCTAAAAGTTTATGTAACAGGATAAAAGTTTCAGTTCCTTTACCCTTCCGGATTGATGAATCCGCTGGATCAAGCTCGTTAATCCTGATTTCCTCTTAATCCGGAAGGCCGTCTTTCACCCTTCACCGTTGTTCGCAAGGGCCTTGCAACTATTGTAGCAGCACAATAGTTGCAACTCGGAGTGTTCTTCTGTTTTTCTGTAACTCGTTGTCGTTTTCCGATCTCAATTTCGTTGTTGTTGCTAGCGCAGCTAATGTTGTTCTCTTTTTCTTTCTCGTTTTAGTCAAAATGGCCGTTTCTGACGTTTCTCAAGAATATGACGTCATAATTCGAATTTTTGAAATTTTAAAATACCAGAATATTCTAGCCCTCACCGTTTGGCCAATCGTTCCAATAACGTTCTTAATTCTTAATAATCATCAATCCGGAAGGCTTACTGCTAAAAATTCGAAGTCTGCATAAATTGCATTTTGGCCATTCTGGTCGAATGTCACACACTCCCCGGACAGTCCCGTCAATGTCCTCATTGAATCGCATTTTATAAAATGCACGAAATTACTTTTATCCACGTCACATCGACTCACTGCAGAATATACATGGCATCATACTACATCACTATAGCCTTCAAACTCTTTCATTAATCTGCACATTGAGGATATAACCTAAGATAAAATATATTTTCTGACTTCCAGTGTCAATATGCCGATTAAAACTCTTTCTCTCTGATTTAAAAGGTGTTGGCTTGCAGGACAGTCCTGCCAACCAACAAGCTAAAATTATCCTACTACGCTTTTCCCTTCGGAAATCTTGCTTGTTTATTGTCCTGAATATTAAAACTAAGAAACTTTGTGGTTAGAAAGAACAATGTAACAACCTCCCTCTTCAAGAGATTACTCAAGTCTTTCATGTCACCACAAAGTGATCAGTCTTCCTAAGTGATTAAAAACAATCATGCAGACTGGAATATTTAAATATACTCTTCTCTTAAGCCTTTCTAAATAAATAATAAGTGTCTCTAAAGCCACTTCTGATAAATTCAAAATGCAAATTTATAAATGCAACAATCTCAAAACTCAACTAAATGTTTCAGTTTTCAATTACAACTTGGTTGCTTGGTTTCTCACTTGAGTTTTTCACACACATAAAACAATTCTGAGTTTTAACTTTTCTTCATCACTCCTTTGTTTTCTTCTTTTTTCGTCGTTTAGAAGTTCTAAAACTTCTAAATTCTTCTAATTTTCTTTCTTGTTGCCTCTTGTTTTCTCGACCATTCGTCAATGTTCCATTTCTTCCTCCTGTGATACTCACTGCGCACTTTCGGTTTCCGTGTCTTGTAGCACATCGTTGGCTATCCTGACGCTGTTGGAAGCTGTCCTCCAACACTTCTGCTCTTCTACCCTCTGTTTACAGCAAGGTAGGGGATCCACGTTGGATTCTCTGTTCCTGCAGAAGCTGTTGTGGAGACACAACGTCACGTTTCTCTCCAAATCTTCTTTCAGCATCTCTGCCTTCTCATTTCTACTACGCTCACTCGTCCTGGAAATTCTTTTCACAGCGGTGGTCACTGCATTCCGATGAGTCACGAAAGCTCGCTTGAAAGCTCCTGCCCCAATGTCCAGCTGATATTCACTATACACTCTGCCATGCTTCGACATATGCTTTTTCGCATACTCGTACAACCATGCAGTCATGTTAGCTCTGAACCATGGCATCAATCGTTTTCTCGCCCATATCTTCTTCACTTCCATCGGAATGTTTAGAACTTTGCACATTGTCTCAAATAGATCTAAATCTTTTAGACAATCTAATTTCCGCAACTGTTCTCTCGTCGGTGCCTCCTGTCTATTATTTTCTCTCACATGAGCTTCCAGCCATCGTATCGCCATCATAACTCCCACTATCACTATTGTTACAGGCTGTGATGAATCTGGTAAACCCATGGAGAGCAGCTCTCCAGAGTCCCAGATCAACATCAGATTACTACGCTTGGGATACCACCAGGTCTGCAGCAAGCAGTGGCAAGGAAACTCGTCATGCGTCAACATGATGCTCCTCCAATTACGTTTTCCCGAAGCTTCCAGCAATGGTTGCACTTCCATCATTACTCGGTGGACTTCATCATTCTCATCTACTGCATTGTAATCTGTGACAGTTGATCCTCTCTGTTTCTGTCTCTCAAAGTCACTGAAGTTCCCGCTCACATATCCCATGAACTTCTTTCCTAGTATTAACTCCAACTCTTCTTTGGTTCTCTCTGGAACTGCTGAGAACATCTTACATAGTAACTCGTAAGACTTTTCAGACATTCTCGCCAATCTCACACACTTCGGCACTGAGAAGGCTTGATCCACAATCGTTCTTGTACTCTTCACGTCCGCAGCTACGAAATGTACAGGGTATCTGCTCTTGCACATTGGAGCCAACGTTGAACCCACCAAATATCGTGCTCCTGATGGTCTACAACAAATTTCGCTGTATCTGATGTTCATTTCTGTCTCGATTGCTTCCCTCCATTTTCCTATGTGTTTCTGCTCAGTCTGCAGAACTCCTGGAAATACTTCTACGCTGATGGCTGTGACCATCTCATGTTTCTGTTGTAGATTCAATAGAGACTCTAAAGAACCAAACATGCTGCAGAATCCTAGTGCTGTCACTAGATTCACATCGGTTCCTCCATGGCAATCTGCTATCAATTCCATTTCCGTTCTTGCTTTCATCACTACATTTCCAAACAATACTGTCAATTGCTTGTGTTGTTTCTCCAGGGTTTTCAAACAGTCTAGACCTCCACAAACGTGACCCTCCAGTCCACAGACTTCCGCCAGACAGCTACCAGGTTTGACCCAGTCTTCTGGCCCCCAGCCAGGCAACTCCACTTTATCTTCTCCGTTGCTCTTAGAGGCTGTTATCATCACATTATATATGATGTTGAGGTCACGCAGGTTACAGTCTGCCTTCAGTTCCCTCTGTATGTCTTGTGTCGCCCGTAATATTGAGTCAGCGTTGGGACTAGGACACCATGATGGCCTCATCAATTCCCACACTGCCATCAAGCTCGTTCTCAGTAATTCATCTGAGAATCCCAACCCAAACTCCACTCTCTTGTCGGATTTTGGTACTGAAGGTGCAGTCACCTCTTCTTCCAAGACCAGTCCCAATTTGGCCTGTGTATTGTTAACGCTCTTGATCGTTACAATTCTGGACGTCCAGAATCTTAGTAACACTGCCTGCTCATAATCAAAGAAGCAATCGCGTATGTCTTCACTCAGGAAAGGATTGTACGCTATCCCTATGATCCCGGATACGTAGCTATATGACTTCTTCTTGATCGGTCCACAGTATTCACTGGATTTCGGCAATGCTCCCATAGATTCTTTAGTGAGTCTCAGCTCCTTGTTTGAGAATCTCCTGATCTCGTCTATCTTTTTCATGGGTTCCAATTCTTCAGGTTCTTTCATGTTCACCCTCATCGGTTTTTTTTGCTGCATGTCCAGCAGTGCTAGCAAGAATAAGGCTTTCGTTCGCTCATCGCCTTCCCTCAACATTTTAACACAAGTGTTTAATGCAGGTACTGAAATCTGCTCTATCAGGAATCGAATGAAACAGAGAGCGTCTCTCCGCTTCGCACACGCTACTGCTGCTCCCTCCTGGACTATCAGATCCCTCAGATTCGTCATAAGGAAAACTTTTTCCTCTTTTGATCTCTTCCTTTCTTCTGAATCATATTCTTCGCGAGTCAGTCCCATCATGCACCAGGCGAACCTGAGTTGTAACTCTGTTCTTACGTAAGGTACTGCCACGAGAGCATGTATTCTTGGCGTAGTCCTCATTTCTTCTTCGAAATACCTCAATACTACTG